ACCCACTATATGTTTTTTTAATATAAATATATGATTAAAAATATATAAAATAGAGTATGGTAAAGAATATACTAGGAATTTTTTTTTTTTGTTAGAAAATAGAATTCAATTGGAGACGAGTTTCTGTATTTTGATATATTATTGCATTTTGGATAAATGCATTCATGGAAGAGGAGTGAAATGATCAAAATGCATATTCTTCTAAATTATAAAAAAAATCATTTAGAAATAAACCGATTTACCCAATTTTTTAATTCATTGAAATCTTTTCTCCTAATTTTAACCCATCCTCTCAATTTGTAAAGAAAAACAAAAAGAGAGATAAAAATTTAGTTGTCACTTGTTACCTCTTCCTAGGTTTTCTTTCTAGAGGGATAAAACATGAGAGATGTGTCTTTAATGCTAAAAATATAATAATTTATTTTCTTACTAAATAGTAAATATTAAAACATATAAAAGTGAAAGCAAAGCTAAGGGAATAAATTTGAATTCAAATTTAAATTTAATGATATATGATATTCTTTAAATAGCTTTTAAATAAAATAATATATACCATTATCTATCAAATATATTTAAATTTAATAATATATGATATTTTGTAAATAGCTTTTAAATAAAATAAAATATATCATTACCTATCAAATATATTTAAAACTAAAAAATAATACCCTAAACCCTAAACTTCAAAACCCAAAGCCCTGTTGTTATAGGAAACTGCCATATGCTTTGTTGTTCACAGCAAAATATAAAAAAAAAATAGTTTTGTTATTTTGTGAAATTCTCTCTCTCTCTCTCTCAGATAATATATAGATTATTGTCTTCTAAGGCCTCTTTGAGATGATTGTAGCATTTTCTAAAAGTGTTTATAAAGTTATTGCGGAGAAAATAAATTTTTTAAAAGAGCGTGCAAAAAGTAATTTTCTAGCACAAAAATTTCCTGAAAAAAATAATAGTCAAATAAAAATTATGATTACAATTTAAAAAATAAAGCAATAAAAAAGCTCTAAATTTTTTTAATGATGCTGCAAAAAGCAATTTACTAGCACAAAAATTTACTGAAAGTAGTGAAAAAATAATTATCAAATAAAAATTATGATTATAATTTAAAAAATAAAATAATAAAAAAGCTCTCCCCAACAAAGCCTATATTCATGAGCTTTAATAATGCATGCCGCTTTGTTTAGTTAGCTTTTACTTTATTGAACTGTAAGGTTGAAGAGTGGAGAGAAAAATTAGGTAAAGAAATGAGGAAGGATTTTAAAATTGTTTAATTTATTTTAAATAAATGAATCAACAATACATTTTTATATTGTATAAATTTTAAAGTAAAGTTAAAATTTTAAAAATTCATTCTGATTTAATTTTGATCCGAATAACTTTACTTTTTTTTTATTGAATTGGATATTGGTTTCTTCATAATTTATTGTTATTTTGATGATATTGTTAGAGTTCATTTGGTTATTTGTAAATAAAAAATATATATTCTTAAATTAAGATTTTTATTTTTATTCATTTTAAGTACAAAAAAAAAGTTATTTTAAATGAATTTTAACAAAATTGATAGAGTTTAAAAGTAATATTAATATATAACTACATTCAACTAAATAAACATTGTGATAAATTTCAATATTTTTTAAAATATAAATTTTAATTTCTTGCAGTCAAATGAGCCCAAAAAAAAATCTTTGAATATAACACATTTGAATAAACTTTGATGAATTGATATATGATAAAAAATTAGCACACAAAAAAAAATCAAAATCATTTTAATGGTTTCATTAATTCATATAAGAACACTGAGTTTAGGACTATAACAAATAATTGAAATATATATTATGATAGTATTTTCTAATAGGTTTAAACTTTCATTGTGAATGGGTTAGACCACTAATACATCAATCTCAACTTTGATTATGTTTAATACACTCTAAAATTTTATTTTATAGTCTGGTGTGGGCTGAGAAATTTGTGGCGAGAGAGTGAAAAGGTTTTACGACTTTATAATATAAGTAAATTCAACACACATATAGATAATAAAGAAACACCAAAATTTTTACATGAAAATTCCTAAAAGGAAAAAAATCACGGAGCCTTGAACAGTTGAAAAGATTCTACTAATATTTGAATAGATTATAAAATTTGACTCGTCCTTCAACTCAAGGGCAATGAGAATACAATGAGTTGGAAAATAGACCAAACTTCAGATAGGTATTTTTGATGCAGATTGAATAATAGAGAATATTCTACAAATGTCGGGCAAGGGTTAGATATGTAATTATAATCAATAAATTGATAATGTCTGAAAATGTTTGGTATTTGGGAAAAGTTCCAACAACAACCAACGAATAGACAGAAATCCGATGACAGTCAGTGCATGGTCAAGAAGAGATCCAGCGGCTGGTGGTGCTAGCAAGAGAGCTCTTTAATTTTTATCCTCTTCTCCCTTCCTTCCCTCATGTGAAAAGTGAGATGTCTGTTTACAATTTTGTTTGACTAGCATGCCAAATAAAATATGGAGAAGATCAAGATATTAGGAGTGTTATATCAGATGGCCTATAGTGATCCCCTTTATTATGGAGCATTTATCAAGCATTTAATTAAATGCCTTAAAGATGTCATAATTGAGTGATTTTGGCCTTGTTGGATTCGTCTTGTTGAGCCGCTCAATTTGATTATAAGCATGTCATATTTGGATATCATTTGGCTATCCAATTAATAGTTTAAAGCTTCCAAATATGCTTTTCTTCTTTGATTTGGTGGGTTAGATCAAATTTGGTGACGTTGGGTTCATCTTATTGAGATGTTCAATTTGACTTTTAAGTTTGCTGAAATCAGAGTTTAGATGGTTCTCATTTTAATTTTTAAAGCATTTGACTCAAATTTACATTGAGATTTGTGTCGGATCAAGGTGAATTTTTGATGACATGAGCTAATTGCTAAATTAGATTGAATGATTCATATATACATTTTCTAGCACATGTGCTTGCTATTTTTTATCAGGCATTAGAGTCCTGGATTGGGTACCCATACCCACACCCACCCACCTGTACGCCCATGGCCTCATGGGTAGGTACTCAGCATCGTGAGATAAACTGATTTACACTGTTAATCATCATATGTTGTATATTATCACAATCATCACTATGCGGTGTGCATCATTGAACTGCACTGCGATCATGGTAATTTCTGATATGCGGCTTGAAAGTTTGCAATCATAGCAAAGAGCAACAAGCCTCAAGGCCATCGCTCAGTGGCGGACTGAGTGCAAAAAGCGTGGAAAGTGGATGGGTATGGGTGGGTACATCATCCCGAAAGTCACCATGAGTAGGGGTGGGTGGGCGAAGCTTGCCCGTGCAGAGCGTGAGTACCCAAGCAAGACCCCATGTAGGACTTTGTTAAGCAAGGTTCAAGAACTCTAATATTTTTTTCAAGAATGCATGACACTTGATGCATTGAAAAGCTTCGATTTGATGAGGATCAAGTGATTACTAATATTGAGAACTCTCATATAACGAAGGAATTTTTAATAATATATAAAAATATTAATTTAATCGCATATTAAATAATTGAAAATTTTTATTATTACAACATTAAATGATTAGCCATCTTTTATAGACTCATTTTTTTATGTTTCATCCTTCTCTGATCCTTTCTATACTAAGTTTAATGGACATATAAAACATAGATTCCTAGTTCACAGTAAGAGAAAAAATAGACCACTAAATAATTTCTTCTAACATATAGTAAGTAAATAATAACACTAGTAAGAGCATCTCCAACCAAAAAATTTATTTTTCACTTCAAAATGCAATAGCAATCATATTAAATAGTAATTCATCTCCAACCGAACTCCATTTTTTACCATAAAAAATGAATATTTTGTGAATACTCTTTCTCATCTCTATTTTTAAATCCATTTCTAACACGAAAAAATGATTTTGTGAATAGTGTGACATCAAAATTGACGTCGCATTATTCACGACTGAGATAAAATGTAAAAATGACTTTCCATTTGTCGTTCAAGAGGGCGCTCGGCGGAGCAGCAAATAAGTGAGTGACGCTCAGTTGGAGATGCCCTAAGAGATAAGCATGAGTGACAATGATATAGTACATCAGCTTTAAATTTGAATGCAAATATAATTGCCCAATTTTCTTCAATTTCAACTCATAGTAAGGCCTTTATAATACAACAAACAAGTTAATTTCTTTTATGTTTATAATCTCCCTTTCATTAACTGATAAATAAATATTGCATATATATTTAAAATACATGGATATGTATCCGGATGTATAAACACTTTAGTACGTATAGGAGCAAACTATGTAAGAGTAGGTGTAGAATAAATAAAGCTTCAAAAATATCAGAAGTCTTTTTGAGTTGCCATAAGTTTTTTAGATAATTTATACTATATTTATTATATTATGAAAGTTTTCATAATGGCTTTTAATACCGTATATAAAAAAAAAAAAATATGTCACAATATACCTTGAATACATTGTATTAAGATATATTAGTTATGTGTGAAAATCTGATGCATGTGCTGATCAATTGAATTATATTGTTACCTAGGATCTCAATTATAATGGTTAAGCTCGCTGGGGGGTTAGGGGTCCTCCCCTGCTTGGGTTCGGGGTTTTGCGCCTGAAACTTCTTTTTTTTCAGTACAATCGTACAATGCTACGATGTTGTGTTTCCAAGTGTTATGACATTGTATAGTTTGTTTGGAGATAGATAGAGAGCAGAGCTTTGTGGCACTCCAGACGCTGGCACTATGGCCCTATAAGGCATACATATGACAGAGAGTTGAGCGCCACGATGCTCCAAACTTGGCGTTGCAGCGCTACGAGACGGTTTGACAGTTTTCTTTCTCATTTTTCACGAAGGGTTACGTCCCTTGGTGATTTTTTTATATTTTCTCTTTGTTTGTTTGTAAGAGGATGGTGTAAGAGAGACAAGGTGAGAGCGAGAGAGAAAAAGGATTTGTACCATTCAAACGATGAACATGAGAAAAAATCTCTGATATTGAATTTACTGACCATTATGTCAAATTACATGTTCATGTTTCCAACAACTATAATGAAACTCCCACATACACACAAATTAAGACAAATAAATTTCCGAACACAAACCAAAATCATGTATATTTGAACAAAAGAGGGAAGAAGAAGATTTACCCGGCCCATATTCTGTCCAATCGGTCAACACTTTTCCTAGCTTGTTCAATATGTTCGGTATTTCTTCTAGATTTTTCAAAGCAATCCACACTCCTCCTGGACTTCTCCATGTGGTCAAATGAGAACTTGAGTTTTTCGTGCTTTTCTTTACTGCTCAACTTGTTATCATTGCTTCGAAATTTCTCCCTGCGGTCAGTGCTCTTCCTTGACGGTTCGAAACAGTCAGAGCTCTTCCTTGCAGGCTCAAACTTGTCAGTGTTTCTTCTGTAAGTGTGTTTTTGCACAGATGGTTTCTCTATAGTTGATATGAACTTCTTGAGATGTTTGATGTACTCAGGGAAGAGCTCCAAGTCACAGTGCTTTCCTCCTTTAAGCCATAGTGGATCGTACTTCTCCTTACACAGCTCCCACAGCTGTTTACCATGAGAACAATCAACAACATCATCTGCTGTTCCCTAAATACATCATATAAAGCACATAGGTAATGAGTGGTATTGCAGGTTATTATTATTATTATTATTTGTACATAATTGAAACAAAAGGTAAGGATCATAATGAAAATAAGCTTAAGATCGTCAAAAAAATTTCCATAAATTTCTATTTTAAGAAACATCATCAATAGCATATGGTTATGGTGAACATGGTAATATATAGAAACAAAGGTAGCAAATTTTAGGAACTAAAATGTCAGTTTCAATATGCCTCCATATTTCTATAAAGGCAATAAATACAATTGGCTGCACAAGAGACCAACCTTGTAGATGTTAATAAGGGAATACGTTTACAAAATAAAATTCATTGCTCTTATAAGTTTTAAGTAGACCAGCATTACAGATAGGAAGCACAGAGTTAAATTAGCACACCAAAAAATGACAATTGCATTTGGTCAATACAAGCATAGAGGCATATATATATATAGCTCCCTTCCATCCTCCCCCAAAAAAATACACAATTGGATTCTATTTTCTCCTTTTAGGTTTCTGACAGGACTTGTGAATGTAATATTTAAGGATAGGGAGGGATAGATTTGCAGAAAAAAATGGGAGGATAAATAATTATATATGAGGAAAGATGATTTGATGAAAAAGGAGACTTAAATGATTTGGAAATATGGCTAGTTTTTTGTGAAATATGATTGTACTGATCAATCGGGCTATATTGTTGACTTAGATTATGTCAGTCAATATTGATCGGCTAGCAACTGTAGTGAATAATTATTTAAGGAGTACAAAGTTAAACTTTGAGGACATCATGTGGTTAGTGCTGAACGAAGAGGTTCACAAGAAAGTGAATGATGAATATTTAAATACTGCTCTAAATGTCAAAATCAAAGAAAGGGGTTTAAACATAAATCTAAGTAGAGTAAGATCTAAATCGAGAATAGAAAAATTCAACTCAGAAAGATAAAACATTGAATGCTAAAACTATGGAAAGTAAGGTCACTTCAAAAAGGACGGAAATGTACCAAAGAAATTTGTTGGTGGTGGTCAAGACAAAGGGCATTCTACGAATATTTTTGTAGAAGAGTTTCAACATGATTCTTTGGTTTTATCTCTTAACAATGTTGAATCTTGGATTGTAGACTCAGGTTCTTCATTTAATGCAAGTTCAAGTACGGAGGTGTTTAGTAACTATATTCATGGTGATATAGGAAAGTGTATCTAGCTGACAACAAACCCTACAATTTTATAGAGAAGGGTGATGTTAAAATCAAGTTACCACATGGATCAATTTGGAAGTTGAAAAATATCAAACATGTTCCATGATTGAAGAGAAATCTAATTTCGGTGAGTCAACTTGCATGCTCAAGTCATGTGATAACATTTGCAGGAGACTCTTAAAATGTGACAAAATGTGTTATGGTGAGGCTCGTGGCAACATTGGATGAACTCTCCATGTAATCAACAAAATGTTTGAATCGGTGCAGATAACAGACATAAATATTGATACAGATCTTTGACACTATAGGCTTGGCCATATGAGTAAGAAAATTATGAAATTTCTCCTTTCTAAGAGAAAGGTTCCATATTTAAAATTATAAATATAGATTTTTGTGAAGATTGTGTTTATGAGAAGCAACATAAGGCGAGTTTTTCAAAAATTGGTTCAAAGGTTATGTCAAAGAAATTGGAATTAGTGCAAACAGATAAATGAGGTTCGACTCCATTTCTTTTTATAGTTTTGTTACAATTTTTTGATGATCACACTAATAATATATGGGTTTACTTCTTAAAATACAAGTCAGATATGTTTGAAGTGTTGAAGCAACAAAAAGCCATAATTGAGAATGAGACATGTTTAAACCGAAGTGTCTCAAATCAGATAATGGTAGTGATATCATCATAAGAAGTTCATGGAGTTTGTGTTTTGATTAGGATCAAACATGAGTTTATTGTTCCAAGAAGATTACAATATAATAGTGTTCCAACAAGTACATAAACAGAATTATCACAGATTGTGCTCGAGCATGAGACTGCATGCTGGTCTACCCAAACAGTTCTAAGCAGAAGCAGTGAATACTGCTATTTATCTGATCAGTCATAGCCCCTTAGTTCCTCTAGATGAAGGGTTTTCTGAGAATGATGGAGTGGCAAAAAGATTAGTTTATCTCACCAAAAAGACTTTGGTTGTACCTCTAATGTTCATATTAATGCAGAATCTAGGAGCAAGCTTGATCTCCTCACAGTAAAAACAACACCAAAGGAAAAACACAATAGAAATCAGCAAGAAAGAAAGCGATTATGAGCTAATTCTCTTTGATAAAGGCACAACACATCAAGACACATGTTGATCTACTATTCAAAAGGCAGATCGACTCTCCACAAATCCTAAGCGTCGCTAGAAACAACTCTAAAGAAAAACTACAACAAACACACAAATCACACAATGAAAATTAAACCTAATTAACCCTATATAAGCCTCCCTAATTTCCTTTCAAATCTCAATTCAAAACAGCCCCTTTTCCTTAAATAAATCTTTTCTAATTCCCTCCCAAATCTCAAATCAGCCATCTTTTCTTAAATAAATCTTTCCTAATTCCCTCCCAAATTTGAATTCAAATCATACCCCCTTTCCCTAAATAAAATTTCCTAATTCCCTCCCAATTTTGGTTTCCTATGAAAGTAATTAAAGGTGGTTTTATTCCTCAAGGTGGATTTATTCCCCTTTAGATCCCCCTCTTTCCTTGCCCACTGTCCCTACTAGTGGGGCATACAAGCTCCGTCAATCCATCAATACTCCCCTCCCAGCTTGTCCTTAAGGTGGTACGAAGAAAAATGTTATTGAATCATACAGTACAGTTCTAATGTTGATTTATAGTCAAGCACATCATTCCACTATATCAACACTTCTCTAGCTCCTCCCACTATCGAACATACTCATTTCACTTCCCTTGCCTTTAGGATTACCTCCATTTCTTTAGTCAAGGTCATCGACAGTGTCTCAGATGGACTGTGGCCGCAAATAACTTTTCTCAGTTGGGATACATGGAACACCAGGTGTATGGTGGAAGTTAGGGGGTAGCTGCAAACGATTCATCACGACACCAATCTTCTCCACCACCTAGTAAGGCCCATAATACCGTGAAAAAACTTTCATTTCTTCTTCGAGCTAAGGTCTTCTATCTGCAGAGTCGAATCTTCAAATACATTTCATGACCCACCTTGAACTGCATGTTGAAAGACTTCAACTTCTCTTTTATAATTGCCCTTGAAACTCCACTATGGTTGCCCCATTAGTTCCTACAGGAACAACACTACCAGAAGAACTTTCGCCTTGAACAGAAAGAGATTGCAAAATCTTTGCCCAAGCTACCCGTTTGTATTAATTTGCATTTTACTGCACAATTCCTCTGTGCCTCTAAACTCAATCATCACCAAATAAATCCTTTGCCTATGATCTTCGAATGGATCTAACCATGTAGTGGATATCATAATGAATAGACAAGTCAACACAAGATCCTTATATTGCTTAGATTTACCATCCAAGTTGCTTTGAAGTGCTTACATAATTCACATTGTAATAGTAGCCAGTTGGGAAGTTGAATCTTCCCTTGCCTTTTCAAATTAAACTCATGAAAAATAGCTTCAAAGTTGATTGATAGTCAAATAAAAACTTCATATAGTTAATCACATAGCTAGTCAGAGGGTGTAGAGTTCCATCCATCACACCAATTTTTGTTGCATCTTCTTCCACTGCTTCCTTAAAATCACCAAAAGTTTCTTGAGAAGTATAGGCTAAGCATCTTGAAAGATTATGAGCAGCATCCCTTGTCTCAAAACAAATTTTTCCTTCCAATATCGTATCAATTTCAAAATGAAGTTCGCACATTATTTCATACATGTCTAGAAGCACAAACAACTTCTCTTGCTTTTAGCTATAGCATCCCCAAAATTAAAAAGCATCAACACATTGTCTATTGTTACTTCAACAAAGCAATAGTCCTTAAGAATACTAATAACATCAAAATTTTGATCAAAGATTTTTCTTTCTGCAACACACAGGAGTTTCACATTATTCCTTATATAATGAATCCAACTTCCAATTTTAGACTCTAGAACCTCCCATGGCATCTTCTATACATCCTCTTTACTAAGCTTTTCCACTCCTTCACCCTGAATTTCCCTTGCCATGATTTTAAGAGAAACCTTGGATATGTATAGAATAGGATCCCCCTTGACCCTCACCTTCCTCCCTCGCACTATGAATTCCATAGTCAATGCCTTCTAGCTCACCTTAGTCTCCTCTGCAATTTGCAACCACTTCATGCTCAAAATTACATTTGTTCTCTCTAACTCTAAGGAAAGTAAATCCTCCCTCACCTGAATCTACTACTGTGTCACCATCAGGCCTAGGCAGATGCCTCTACTCTTCTCCACCTTCCTTGTTCCCATCATTACCCCAGAACATCCCGTATCGACCAGCTTCAGCCCCAACCGATCCACCATCTGATTGGAGATGAAATTATGGGTTGCCCCACTATCTACCAGAGCTACCACTGATTTTGTCCCTTCATATTTATGGTGTGATTTGAGATAAAACCCACCACTTAGTTCAAGGAGACCTCCGCCACATCTAGCTAGAAATACTCCTCTAGAGTCACCTGCTCATCATAGACTGTAAGTGATTACATCAAACAGTCCTTGCAATGATGGTCTAGTACAGACTTCTCATCACAATGGAAACACAGCCCCCCAGCCTATTTCTCCTAACCTCTGTCTCAGTCAACCTCTTAAAATTTCCCCTAGGTCGTGCTCCCAGTCTCCTATCTTGGGTTCTTCTCTCTGAATAAGCACAGGCTGTGCCTTTGATGCCAAAAAAGTAGTCATCATCTAATTTGAAGCTCCCGAACTGTTGCCATTATTGCTTCTCTCAAGTGAGTGTTTGTCCTCCACCATTTGGGCTAGCTCTATAGTCTCTCCCAACTCTCGTGGCTTCAATAACCAGACAACAATCATATATCTGGCTTGAGCCCCTTCATGCCCTCATTTCTTCCTCATAATTTTTCTCCTCATGCCATATCCTTCATCCATTTCCCTCCTAGTTATTAGCTCAAGAGGTGGCATATTTTCATTGTCGCTCAAGATTTATACTCTCGATCATCCCCCATTGTGTCAATATTGGGGTTTCCCCCACTTCTTTGACCACCCGCAAATGCTCTCGCCTCCGATGGTGCTAGTTGAGTGTGAAGCTCCAATATTTTTTTCATCATATCCTCTAGGTTAAAGAACTTTCTTCCATCAATTTCATATTTGAGTTAGCCAACTTCTCCTTCTGATTTCTCTCCAAATCATCCACTTTCTTCGGCACTGTCACGACCCAGCCATATATCAAATACATATAACAAATGCACTATAGAATACTTCTCAAGTTTTGAGATGAGGAAATTTTGCTCATTTACAAGGTTCTAATTTGCATTCTTACTTATCAGAAGGTTATTTTGTTTTACTGAATAGGACATATTAAAAAAGTTTATTTATCTTGAAGAAAAAAGAAGATTATATTGCCGAATAATCAAAACGTCATTTACAGTCAAACATATGCAAGATTTTTACAATAATTTAAAAGCGCAAATGTGAGCAGTGCTGCGATAAACTAACCAAAAATATATATACTATATGCAATTGGAGTAAACAAAGTATGCATGAATGTTTAAAAATGATCAAAATGTTAACAAAAATTAAGGATGGACTTACATGTATTATGAGCACAGGACAGCTGACTAACGGAATTTTGTCAATATTCTGAGAAACAGAAACAGACAAAATATGGTAACCAACTTATCAATTTTGAGATGAAGAATACCAAAAGAAATATGGATAAAATTAAATGGAATAGGAGCGTCAACCTTGTAGATGTCAAACCAGTATGTACGTTTTACAGGATACATAACTCTTAAACCAGATAAAATGGGGCTGTGCAGAACAACTGCTCGCAAGGAGGGAAGTCGTGCCGCCAGATCAAGAGTAGGTCCACTTCCAACAGACTGCCCATACATGATAATGCTTTCATCTTTTGCACCATAGTTCTCTCTAAGACACTTATAAGCAGCCTCTATATCAGCATACGTATTCTGCTCACTTGGCTACAAAGAATAAACAAAGACTTCAGCTTTTCATTACAAAAATTACTCTCATTTCCATCATTTATTATTCTAGACTACAAATCACCATCAAAAATACAAAAAGATGGCGTGCAATAAACCTTTCCAGACGACTGCCCATAGCCAGAATAATCATACCTGCAGAAGTATGAAATTTTGATCAGAATTGTGATCATTAAAGCAACCACCTTAATTTGGAGAAGACAAGACGCACAAGGTGACCTGAACAATGTAAGTATGTACGCATAGGGTGATTTAAACATTAGAAGCACTAATAAACGAACATTGGGAGTGAATAATAATAACAAGCTGATTTTGGCCATTACTTTAAGACGAAGCTTAATTCAACCGAGTTCTGCCATAACTTATGTCTTACTCGTGAAAATCACTTATTTTCTATTTGCATCCAATCTTCTGTAGGTTCCAACTTCCCTCAAACAGAACTCTGCCAGCACTTACGTCTACATCACTCTACCATCGCTTATGAACTACAAGGGTCAGTAGAATGTCCTACTAGTGTCGGGAGAATAGCTATGGACAGAAAAAATGAAGAAAGAAAAATTAAAATAATTGCAAAAGGCTACACCAAAAAGGCACAAAAGGTTACAAGATTTGGCGAGACTGAGTTGCTTGCATCCATGGCCCAAATAAAGAAGCATTTTCACAAAAAAATTTGAGAAAGGCAAATCATAATTTTCTTTTCCAGAAAAATACTCTACTTTATCGGGAGAAGTATGATGAAGGATCAAATAGCAAGCTATGGGATTTTGAGAAGTAGATATAAAGATATCTTTAGTTGTATTCCCAATTTACAGCAACAGTATGGCACCATCACAATCGCATTAAGCACCACCAAGCTTGCACCGGCATCATCATGCAGTGGCAGGTCACCACGGCCACAAACGAAAGCACCAAACATCTCTCTCTCTCTCTACACACAAGCATCCATTTTTATAAGCCTAATTAAGGTAGTGGAAATAGATTCAGAATCTAGATCATATTTTTGTAAAATCTAATATACAATGAAAAAAAAAAGCAACAACTTTTTTTAACTAATTATTATATATGAACAAAAGATAATTCATTTGAATTTATATTTACCTATAAGACCATATGTTGAATATTTGACTCAATCTTATTTCATGTTTTGTACAACATATTTTGCACAGAGTATGAAGGAGTGGTGCACTGGATCTTGATGCCAAGGAAAAATTTTTATGAGAACAGATGAAGTCAGATGAATAACATTTAAAATGAAAGATCAAAACACATCCATCATTTTGCATACATTGGGTCGAAAGCCAAATGGGCTCATGAAATATATTAACCTAAGATTGTGTGAAGTGTTGCTTTTGCCTCAGTATGTGTTGATATACAAACTAAAATGCCTATATTTTCATGAATATCTCATATATATCATGCATAATTGATCTAATATAAAAGATCTCTCGACTGGTGTGGTTTGCAAGCTCGAAGGCTTCTCTGAAATACACTCTAAGGATTTCATGAGTAATTGTATGAATAAAGGCACGCCCTCTCAATTATGTTTCTTAAAGTGCATTTATGAAAATCCCTATCTCAATAAGGGTTCCTGTCTTAATAGATACATGCAATTAGAGGATTTCAATATGAATGAGTACCATTAGCTAGGGCTCTACTCAGCATCATCATCTTGCAGATTGGTAGCATGTTGTGCAGTAAATCTATTTATAAGAGCTTTAGCCTTTTCTTCGTTAGAAGTTGCACTACTAGGGTTATAGAAGGGACTAGTTGATGTAGAATTAAATGCGTAGGTAATTATGTAATGTCAAAAATACACGCCTTTTAGTTAGAGCGAAAATAATTATGTTTACTTTTAGCGATTTAAATAAATATTAAAACAATAAAGAGGTGATTGAAGCTTAGGCCAAACTACATGTAAGAATTAGAATCATGAATAATCAATTCTAATCAAGTTTAGCATAGCATGGGGGATTTTTAAAGGAAAACCCTATTTTAACATATAGATTAGGCATTAATTGGATCCACTCACTCACACTCTTGAGGTAGGCGAAACAGAGATAGATTGCACAACCTTTATGATGCCACAAATTAAAGGGAAGACTTGGAAAAACAAAGACTTGGAGGAGAAATTTACCCTTATCAGGATTTGGAAACAATGCGCCACTGAGCGGGAGAGAGTTGTTCGTCGATAGCAGCGGCGAAGGAGAAGACAATCCTTTCGATGTAGTCTTCAACGGTACGGTCGACCTCCAAGTTGATGTCGAAGAATGGTGACTTGAGGATGTCAACTTTCCCTTAATCGTCATAAACAAAACCGTGATCAAGTTCTGGATCCTCCATACATGAGTGGACAACAAATTGAAGCTTGGAGAAATTCTGGACGGCAGTTTCCTAGCTCCTCAAAATCTAGACAGCAGTTTCTTGCTCCACGAAAATCTGGACAGCAGCCGAGAAAGCTTCTGGTCTTCAAGAAGTTGGTTCTAGGATGAGAAAACCTAGGTAGTTGGCCAGGGGAAACATAGGACAGCAATTAGAAAAGAAAACCTGGGTTACTTCTCTTGCATAAGGGACATGCAATTTAGGTCAAGGATCAATTCCGGAAGAATCAGGTTTTAATGGCAGCAGTACTTTGGGAGGTTAATTAGAGGGATTTGAATTTGACTTCCCAAGGAAAGAAGGGGCAAAGGGAGGGGCGGCACCTTGATGAATGAGGTGATTAGGAATCCCAATTGAAAAGGGGGATTAATTGAGGAGAGAAGGAAGGAGGGGGCCGGCGGCTTGTATAGGATGGGGGGTTTAATTGGAGGAGTTTGTGGGCTTCAAAAATTCGGCCCCGACCTCCACCCGCTATTGCTTTTTCCTCGGGGGGAGTTTTAACGGAATTAAGTTCCGGGATAAATTTTGAGGTGGCAGATGGATTTGTAGATAAGACACTACCCAGAGATTTCACCCTCATTTTGTGAGGACTTTATGATATGAGTTCTGGTTTCCTATAGGCGTAAGCCCCTAAAGTTAATTATCCCTTCCGATCACGAGAGAGAACTTTCGCTTAAGGCTAGTCGTCAATGAATATGTCGTACCCTTAGATATGCAGTATCCGGCATATAGTGGCAGCATTGGGCTTAGAAAATTTGAATGGTTTGATATTTAAAATTAGAAATTTTCATTATCTTGCACTTAAAGCAGATGGTGGGGGAATGGATGATGGACTCGATCAAGATCCCATGGTTCCATCGTCCCGGACCATCGTGGTCCCAGATTTACTTAGTCAGAGGAGGTAGTCAACCAAACCAAACAGAAGGATCCTTATCGGCAGCCATGGGTTTCTTCGTCCAAGGGTACCTTGTAGACCTAGGTTGAATGTTTATCTAAGGGGACAAATTTGAATCCACCTTAGCTAACAGAGGGCTTTGTGCCCTATCAATCATATCATATTGACTTATATCTAAAGGATTTGATGTCACTAAGGAACATATTGACTCTGGCCATAACATTTATTTCGTGGTGTTATTCGACGGCAAAACCATTTGATGAGGGCCTCGGGTCATAACCGTTTATTATGTGGTGTCATTTGGCGGCAAAACCGCCGGTCATAGGACACGTACCACGTCTTTACTAGCAGGAGATTAGTTGAGAATGAATCCTAGTGATATTTTCGACTAAGCATTAGCCCTATGTGAGCTGAAGTAAATTTCACTTTGTCCACCAGGCAAACTGTTACGAATGGTGGATGGATTTTGCTTTAAGTGTTTCATGGTTGGATTTCAATTTTTAAATACTTGAAATTTGGAATGGTTATGGAATTTTGGATCTTCATGGTACTTAGGTAGAATTTGAAATATTTAAAATTAACCCATCCGGTTGAGTCTTCTATTCAACATGGTCATCGGGGTGTGTGAGGTCATTCATTGATTAAACCTTGTCGAGTCTGTCGAGCTGTCGACAGAGGATCGGATACGTCACAAGCTTTGTGTCTTTATTAGTGAATTTTCATTATTACAGGCCTTGAAGGCCTAATATGAATGTATTAAGACAAATATATTGGTCGCCGCAACCGTATATTTATTTGATGATTCGAACCTTGTCGACCTCTATTGATCCGCATAGAAGGATAGGGTTCGAACTTGAATTCACTTATTGACCCGCGCAACATCCCTAGACATCACGTGTGTATCCATAACACGCTCGCCGAGCCCATGCGGGTGTATAATTTTATCGATGAATCTTTTTTATAAAGGGCCTTGAATGTGTTCACCTACATGCCAAAGTAGACTATTGACATATTATGTTTATTGTCGACTTCTCTACGCGTATTGATCGGCGATTTAAATGTTCATTGCATGCTGACTTTGTACTCATGGGAGAATGATGTAGTTGTTTGCAAATCAGTGTAATAGAGGAGTTGTTTTATCTACTACTATGTCTTTCACATTCTACTCATGAGAATATCAAATTCAGTAGGACCCTTCTAATGAATCAGCACATTCATCGTGTTGTACGTCATTGCAGGTAGAATAGAACTTCTGTTATTCCCTTTCTAACTTGTAGATAAACTATCGTATGTGTGTCAAGCCTCCTATAATGACTTATAGGACCTCCTATGCATCGCAGGTTTATTACACTCAAGAATCATTTTGCCCCCTCTTGTTGATTAGTTGGTTGGACACCACAAGTCATCTTGAGTCTATTGTTGATCATTCATGGGCGATTACTACTTGTCGATGCGTGCTTGCCAGCAAATACCATTTGGAAATCGAATAATATATATAATATAGTATATTAGATGTATACTTCTTCTTTTTGGCTTTTTTTTTTTTAGATCTTCAATGTGAATTTATAAAGCCTTTCCCTTTAGTCCAGTTGAGTTCAAGTCTTAAATTTGAATGTTGCAAGTTCAAGTTCCTCATAATTGTCCCGATTTATAATCTCGGGTCATTGTTCTTTCAAGTTCAAATCAAAGTCTTCCACATTCAAGTTCTACTTGATGTTGCTCAACTCAAATTCAATGTTCACAAGTTCTTGCTTTGAGCTCAAGTCCAAGCAATCCTTTTAAGTTTGAGTTCGCTTAAGTTATTTTGGTCCAATCAAATTCAAGTTAAGTTCTGTTTGTTTGAGTTTTAGTTCAGGTCCTCTTC